CGGTTTTCTCGTCTCGAAGGCCAACATCCTTTGCACATTCCACCGTTCAACATTCATGCCAACACGTTGACTCGCCTTGCCAACTCAGTTATGCCGACATATGCATGCATCTAACAGCCCCCGTTTCAACTCGTGCAAACATGAACCAACCGGCCGGCAACCCCTTGCTACCGGTGGCCCAAAGGGTGGCCAGTCAGTTGGTGTGGCTTGCGTGTAGACGACTCGCCCCCACGCAGAGGGGTTGCACTGCCCATGCAACTACGAGGTCACCGGGTGGTTGAACAAAGTAGACCAAACTGTCCCATGTTGATTGTGGCCAAGCAGGAGTGGTTTTTTTCCGAATCACCTGCAATTATGTCTTTTCGACTCAGATCCGAGGCTACACGTACGCCTGAATACACGCGAGGGTATATTTTACCTGCCCGTCCGGCATAAAAAGATCGTCAACCACATCGGGCCAAGTCATCTCGTCCCTGTTTGGCTTCTGTCGATGGAGTGAGTTGGTTTCAACTTTGCAGGATCTGTCGTCACCTCAAGGATCTGACGTCTTGGACAGGCTTGGCCGTGGAGGTGAAGGCTTCACGATGGGAAAAATGAGCGAAGCCGTTAGGATGCCTGAATCCGATTTATTGAACCCCCATGTTGACTCACTAATAATTACGGAACTGGCAAACAGGTGGATAGGGTAAGCTGAATAAAGGGACTTTGGGGCAGGATGGCCATGGCAACAAGTCTCAGACACCCAATCTGCTGACGCCTTAAGCCCAAGATGACCACACTCCATTTGTATAAGGGTTCGCCCATGTTTGTACCTTAGCTTGCAGAGCATAACCTTGCATCAGATTAACGTGAACGGATTAATTTGTCATTTCGGCTTATCAGTTGCATAATGAAGTGATGAACTTCGAGTCAATTCTGATCTCCAAAATTGTCCGAAGACACTAGCCACTGACAGAAGTGGAATTCAGTTGATTGTAACCTATCATCCGTGCTACCACAAGCAAAAGACCATTCGCGATGACTTTCCAATGGTCTCTAGCGTCTCCGATTCGTCTTCTTTTGCTGGTCATGAGCATACTTCGGCGGCCGAAAAGAAGCCAATATTTTTGGGTGCATAGATTGTAAATTTAAACTTTAATCAACCTATGGCATTTAAGGGAATGTTAGGGATGAAGGTCAAATGTTCCACAATTAAATGAATAGGCCTCACGATTTCATTAGATTACAAAAAGTCTGTCATGATGTGGTGATCGTGGCGAAACTACTTATGTCAAAAATATGTAAGTAGTTTTCGAGACTATCAGCAATTCCGGAAAATTGATCGCTTCGACTAAGTTTTTCGGAATATGAGAAGTATTCATCCTATTTCGTTTAAGGGAATGAAGGGCAGGTAGTTGCATTTTCTCGCAATGAAATGAGTAGAGCTGATGTTTCCACCAGAGAATGTGATATGAAAAAATGCCTGTCCTTTCTTGAATTTCACCTCTGCCCCGTGACCAAAGGGCACCCGTGGCAATGTGGCGTAGTAGTAAACGTGTCGAGATTACACACTGCACTACCGTGGGTCAACTATCGCTGGGCGTTTGATAAGACCTGGATAAGAACAACTCTTGGGAAAGCAAGACTATGTGAAATTCAGTGGAAAACGTAAGCTCTACTCATATCATTGTGGGGAAATTCAAATGCCAGTGCTTCATTACCTTAAACGAAATCGACTGAATACAACTCACTCCTGAAAATAACCAGCCTAATTCAGCCAAGATCTCTTAAAGTAATTTAAGTAGTCAAACTACCAGTTCTCTTATCACCTTAAGCAAAATAGATTGAATACACTTCATATATTAATGATCTACTGGTAGTCTCGACAACCTACCTACAAGACGAAACAGAAGTTAAGGGCGGATAGTTGAGTTTTCCCACAATCACGTGAGTAGGCTTTACGATGCCATTAACTTTAACTTAGACTTGCCGCTCAAAAGGCTATCTCATTCAGGATGGACCGCAGTTTCGGCCTCGCCTCTGCGTCCAATCAGTGTCCTAAGCGAGATCCGATACCAGTTTGTGAGTCATTCAACAACACTATTACTTGATTATATGGGATTTTAAAGTAGGCAAACATGTATTTTACATTGTAATCGGTGACGCTACTTAGCTTAATTTGGTAAAAGTAAATCTTGAGAGTAGCATAATGAGAAAACTCAAAAGGTCAGCCCTTAAATCACATCAAGCGACCTATAGTGACTAACTTCCTGTTCAAAAATAAGTAATATCATCGGCATAGTGACGAATATAAATATACCTCATCAACAATACCAAATTACAGGTGATTTAAGAGAGACCAGACTTACCGTGAAAGCCACATTTGCCCTGCGTGGCGTAATGGCAACGTATTACCACTTTGCACACACGACCCTGTCTTTAATTTCCTCAAGGAGGGAGTAGAAGAGTTCTGCTAGGTCGAAACTGCAGTCGCTCCTTGAATGAAGAAGACATCGTGGGAGGAAATAATGTCAAACGCAATAACATCGTGAGACGTATTTGTGTTCTCAGATAAAAATGTTAAGTGAGCGACCCAGGTTGACTCATACTCTAATTTAATAATTGCTGGTAGCTCCACTAGTGCTCACATCGAAAAGAAGAGGATATTAGCCAATTTAGATATAAAGAGAAGCTGGCTTTCAAAGATTGCAATGCTGGCGTACATTTAATTTCGTTTTAA